TGTAATCGTTTTACGAGAAAGTCCTTATCAGTCCAACGTATCGGATTCGAATGTGATGTAAGCAAGACGGACTGGTTCTTTTATACTGAAAACCCCTTAATTACTATTCAATTAATCACACCTACACCAATCGCAGCTATATGTTCTACCTACACACCCTACAGCCAGGTTATATATATATTTTATTGCTTAGATGGGTGGACGAGCTCACAGCCCACCTGATATTAAGTGGTTACTGGAGCCCATAGACATCTACAACGTAAAAGCGCCACCCACCTTGAGATATAAGTGTCTCAAGTATAGTTACAACGGCTGCCCCACCCTTCAAACCGAAACGCATTACTGCTTCACGGCAGAAATAGGCGGGGCGGTGGTACCTACCCGTGCGGACTGACAAGAGGTCCTACCACCAGTAATTACGCAAATTATAATTTTGCGGGTTTATTTTTGTTACACGATGTTATTCCTGTCACGGTGGAAGTCAATCGGTGGAACAATTGTTAGTACTATTTCATTAGAAAAAAAATTGGTACCCGCCTGCGGGATTCGAACATCGGTGCATCGCTAGATCCGAATGCACCGGACGTCTTATCCTTTAGGCCACGACGACTTCAATATATGTAATGGAACGACCAAGTCGAGGCTGGGATGACGACAATGGTAAGTTCTCTCGTCGTATCTGTGGAATCACTTCCTCTGGAATGTTCCACTAAAGATAACGCATACATATGTTATTATTATTAGTATGTTATTAGTACAGACAGACTGTACATCCGAAAAATAATATATATCATATAATAATATATAACACAATATGATTAACTTGGTAAACAGGTAACCCTTTCTTTAACCGATACCCTTGTGCTGTGAGGATATTCCAATGTTTGTGGCAGTGGTCGCTTACTAAATTTTGTGAAATATTTCTCCAGGATTTTCTTTATTGCTCAGATAGGTAGACGAGCAAAAAGGCTTACGTTAAAAGGCTGTAAAGTGATCCGCCAACTCCAAAGACATAGCATGTATACATAATTTGCTTGGTCCAAGGGGAATTATTTCATTAATTAAAAACCAACTAAGGCTAAAAACAAAAAAAATACCTAATATTAATTGAAAACATGAAATTTATAATTATATAATATAGGAAATGAATTCGTAAATTAATTTGGTATTCATTTTAATCATAGTAAAGTCCAATGTGTATAAAATAATAAGGAGAAAAATAAATCAGGTCAGGCATATATGTAATTGTCATTTGAAAACTATGAAACGTTTGAATATATTGATCCCGTCAACTTAATTTCCTGAACTTCTCAGCCGATCACTGGTTAAGCCTACGTAACGTCACATCGATTACGTGCTCACATACTTGACTGTTTACTAATTAACCAAGCTTCCATATAAAATGAGAGACTTTCGCACGCTCGCAATATTCACATCCTGCCATCACAACGAGTAGCACGTAAGGAATCATCATGAAACTGGTCATACTCCTTGTTGTCGTTTCTGCCATGCTCGTACTAGGAGGAGCACAAACAGCCAGCCAATTTTATTAGTGTAGATTACACACTGTGAAATCAATTAGACCAGCGGATGTAAGCCTAAATATTGATAATGATGCAGCTCGTTTTGATCCCGAGTAGCGTCACGCTTCGCATATAAATTCTCAACTTGGTTACTGTCCTGTTTACTGTGAATGTTCTATTCCAGCACAAAAATTCGATTCGTGTACATTTTATGAACTGGTAAAACGTTAATTTCGGAGCTTTGCTGGAGAATACCAGTTTTAAGACCAGAGTTTGGCGAGCCTTAAGCTTGTGGAACCTCGCAACAACCGAGACCGTTTTAACCTAAGGCTTCAAAGAATGATTTCAAAGTTGTAACCCGGTCACCCTTGAAACACGCAGTTTCTCTATGGTAAAATTTTCCACTACCAATCTTTTGAAATGTTTCAAGCTATCAAAGCAATTGGACCACGCAATACTTTCACAAATAAACCATAAAACATGATGATTACTACAGCTCTGATGAAGTCATAAACGCTCGCTTCCAGCCCCGCGTGTCTCGAGCATTATGAACTGGTTCTAAGTTCATCACTGATACTGGATGATGCCTACTTTGACTACTTACTAATTATGACGACTAATATCTATAAAGTTTGCTAGGCGTTCAAAATTAAAAGTCGCGTCAAGTAAATGTACAACATTTAATTCAGTTCATTGGTTAATTATTAGAACCTATGTAATGTCAAAAAAATCACGTGACCATAATTTTGTTATAAATAAATATTCATGAACCACATTTCAACATATAAATGAAGGGTTGTTTAGCTTTCATCACATTCACATTTCATCAGTCGCATTAGCAAGACTTCCTTCGAAACACACTTCAGTCGCCAAACATGAAATTACTCCTTGCTATTGCATTAATGTTGACAACAGTAATGTGGGCGTCAACACAACAGCCACAAGCAGTGCACACGTATTGCGGGCGCCACTTGGCTCGCACTCTGGCCGACCTGTGCTGGGAAGCGGGCGTGGACAAGCGCAGCGGTGCTCAGTTCGCGAGCTACGGCTCCGCGTGGCTGATGCCGTACTCGGAAGGACGCGGCCAACGAGGCATCGTGGATGAGTGCTGTCTCAGACCCTGCAGCGTGGACGTGCTTCTGTCGTACTGTTAGACCACTCCTTTACCAAACTAATTCGTTCTCAATACATTTGGAAATAAATAGCTGTAAATAACAAAAAGTTGTTCTTCTCTTCCTGAACCATACCTAGAAGTGTTGACTGGTACATACACATACGGTTTTTAGCCTTTACGTCGTTGTTTTTGATCGGCAAAAGCAAAATTAAAAGATATTGTCTTGCTCTCGAGCCCCGTGAAAATATTTACTTTTGTGGCGTGGCATGACAGACTCTCACGCCTGGGTAATATTAAGCGGTTATCAGAGTCATAACACTCACAGTTACTTGGGCAGTAGAACCCAAGAATAATTGCATTACTGTGTAGTTCTTAACCAAACCATAACTTAGAACCGGTAAATCAACGCAAACAAAAATCTCATGTAAGAGACCAAATTTATGACCTTGTGTATACCACTCATTAGCCTTTTCATTTTGTTCAGATAATATTCACAAATGCTCACGGCCAACAGCCTATTAACATTATATTGGTCATGCTGAAGGAATGCTCGCCTAAGTGTGTACAACTTGAGCGTCTCCCTGCAAAAGTTAATGAAACTAAATTCATTTCGTGTAGGGTATCTTTAATTCTATAAAGGTCATATACACGTTTTATCTTCTTTCCTCTTTTTGTCTCTATCATCTGTCATTCTTCCTTTTCTCTTTCGACTTCCTTCAAGAGTTTGGTCTTTCTATCTGTAGTGGTCTTTTGAGTCGCCACAATGGTATGATTTCGTATTCTCAAATATAATATCCTCAAACTGTCATATTCTTGTCTTACTGATAAAGGACAACGCCCAAAAGTGGGCCAACTTTATGTCAAAACTATTTGTACTTGAAAAACTATGCCTTATTTTTTGACGTTGTTTAGTTTATGTATCAACATTCTTTAAACCTGGCATTGTTTTACAAAAAAATAAATTACTTATTTAATAACATCCCAAAACTGAGTGCCATAGTTTTTAAATTCGCCAATAGGCAAAGGGCTTAGCCCATAAAGCCTTATAGTAAACCTTTAAGCTGCCAAACGAAAGAGTTGTCTGTGACTTGAACAACAAATAAAAAAAAAAGCTAATGGCTAACTATGAATCTCTATAGACTTTTTAGTTTATTTTTATCAATTCAATATTTATATATTGTAATAATAATTATTACTTAAAAACATGAATTACATATTTAATATTTTTAGATATTATTGATTCCATTAGTAAAAATCTCAATGGCCTACCATTACTCTATTCTTATTACATATGATTAGAGAGTTTTGGCAGCAACCCGAGTGAAGCGTCACTTGAAGTTTTTTGTAATGTTTTTTTAATAGTTTATTGTGATGTATAATTTATAAATTGGAATAAAGGCATTGGAATAAAACTGCGGCTAACATAGCAGTGACTGTTTTTTTTTTCAAGATAAAAGGTCTGCGGAAATTCACGCTCACTCAATGTGTTATTCATCGAGTTGACGTCAAAACTCCCAAAAAGCAATAAAAAGAGATACACCAGCTTTTTATTGAACAAAAAAAAAATAACTACGACAGACTAGGCTGTATAGGCTACGCTCTTTGCCTGCTTATTGGCGAATTTAAAAACAACAACAACAATATCGTTGCCGGCTTCCGGATTTTCATTTCATTTACGTAAGGGCTTATTTCTAGCAACATGAACCACAATTAACTTATTTAATACTGTAAATAATGATGAGAGCGATTATTGATTTCGAAGAAAACAATGAACAACTTAATTTTAGCTGCAGAAAAAAACAGAGTTCTCTTAAACCTGGGAGAGAATATAAAAATCGTTTTCTGAATATAAAACGATATTTGTTTGTCTATCAAATTAAGTTAAAACCATCATGACCCGACAACTTTTTTTAGGGGCCCAAACGCCCTAAGAAAATGGGCATTATCCTTTCATTGTAACTATGAATCTCTATTGCCTATTAAATTTAACTCGAAATAAAATAAGAGACTATTATTACTGTACAATTCAGAGTGTTTATTGGACATTAACAATATTTTCAGGTATACTATTGTAAGCCAGACCAAAGCCAATAAAACCTCGGCCCAAGGTCAACAAAAGCATTCCCAAGGAGGGTTGACGTCAGGCAGGCGGCCGGTCATAAAAACTTTGCCAAAACTTAGAGCAACATGAGAAGGAATAAAAAGAAGAGCACCAGGGCTAGGGCGTCCCCCGCAGGCGACGCGCAGGGACAGCACCCGGTTTCTGTGGAAAGTGGACGAGGGTTGTCGCATCACGGGCGGGTCGTACCCGCCCGTGATGCGACAACGAAGTAAGACGCAACGAAGTAATACGAAGTAAGACGCAAGCCCAAAATGTGAGAGAGATGAGATTGAGGTATGCAAGCTGGAATGTGGGCAGTATGACTGGGAAAGGAAGGGAGCTAGTAGATGTGTTAAAGAGGAGAAGAATAAATATAGCATGTCTGCAAGAGACTAGGTGGAAAGGAGCGAAAGCTAGAGAAATTGGTGAAGGATATAAGCTGTATTATAGTGGAAGTGAGGGAAGAAGGAATGGCGTGGGAGTAGTGTTAGATAAGGATTTGAAAGATTGTGTGGCGCATGTCATAAGAACGAGTGATAGGATAATAACCGTAAAAATAGTTTGTGAAAGTGTTATTTTGAATGTTATAAGTGTGTACGCGCCTCAGTCCGGGTGCAAGGAGGACGTGAAAGAAAAATTTTGGCAGGATTTTGATAGTGTTATGATTCGCATTCCAGAGAGTGAAGAGATTTGTATAGGAGGTGATTTTAATGGACATGTAGGAGCTACAAATGAGGGCTATGAAAGGGTGCATGGAGGGTGGGGGTATGGCAATCGTAATGATGATGGAGACCAGTTGCTCCAAGCTGCGACCACCTTTAACCTGGCAGTGGCGAATACGTGGTTCCAGAAACGGCCTGAACACCTTATCACCTATAAGAGTGGTAAACACGCGACACAGATCGACTACTTTCTGATTAAGAGAAGTAAGTTGGTATGTGTCAAAAACTGCAAAGTACTGCCGGGTGAAGCATTGGTGACGCAGCATAGACTGTTACTAATGGACATTACAATCAGTTACAAGTACCTAAGGAGGAAAAACCGTCTCTCGCCAAAAATTAGATGGCGTATGCTAGAGACAGATGAGTATGCTGGTCGATTTAGGGAAATAATGATAGAAAACATCTTGGAAATGAAGGATATGAAAGAGAAATCTGCGAATGATTGTTGGGATGAAATGGCAAATAGTGTCAGGAAGACAGCTAAGGCTGTGCTCGGCGAATCAAAAGGGAAAGGTATAATTGACAAGGATACATGGTGGTGGAATGAGAATGTACAGAGAGAATTGAAAGAAAAGAAGAATGCATTCAAAAAGTGGCAACTAGAAAGAGGTAATGAAAGTGAGAGGCAAGCTAGGAAGAATGAGTATAGAGAATGTAAGAAAAA